CGCCTGGTCGTGCATAGACGCGAACACGTACGCACCACCTGTCCGGACCGCAGCGGCGGCTCGCCCTCGAACAGGTAAGCCATTGTCAAGACATGCAGAGCATCACCGCCAGTGCTGGCGAAGAGACGAAATACACGAAGACATGGAGGCGGCCCCTCTGCTTCAACTTGGCAACATGCATGATTGATCGACACCAAGGTATGGCGACCGGCCACGTGCTGTGGAGAATGGAGATGGCACATGGAGGTGGCAGCCACGCAAGGTTCCTTATACAGTTTCTTTATAAAAGGAAATCTCATTTTTAGGACGCCGATAACTGTCATACGAATGGCACAATGTACATTCAATCACAAGACTCGTCCGGTCGTATCTAGGGAACAGCCCACACCATCATGTGTGAGAGAATATTAAAACTGCCTACACGTTTGAGTGCAGCTACGACGGCCCACACGACCCTGTGTGACAACTATTCATATGGCTTTATCTTCTCTAGATCTACTGCGGATTTGTTATTCTTTTACCTATACATATACATGAATGTGATATCCCTCATAAAGAGGAAGCTGAGTTAAAGGAAAATCTAGATTTACTTCGACGTGGTTTAAGAGAAAGCATGTTGCCAGTTGTGATATTTTGAAACTTTGAGAAAATATTCAAGAGAAGCATTGTTTTCGGGACGCTAATTAGGTAGTAGATGAGCTAGCTAAGCATTCTCTTACTGCTAGATCTTCAGGTTCTTGGGATGATGTAATACTTGACTATGTTTCTCATTTACTTGTAAATGACAACGATCATCATATGAGAAATAAAGTCTATTTGCTGAGCTCACGGCTGATGTGCATCATGCATTACACTGTTGGGATAGGGAGGTTCTTAAGGGACCACGTACTAGACTCAGGGAGTTACAAAAGAAGTTAAACGAGGTTCTCTTGGGTCCCTTAACAGATGATGCGGTGGTTAGACAACATGAACTACACTTGGAAATTGAGAAGCTACTAGAGCAGGAGGAGCTTTACTGGATGCAACGGGGCTGAGCGGACTGGCTCACTCGCGGGGATCGAAACTCTGAATTTTTTCACAGAGCAGCAAATGGACGGTGCAAGAAAAATTTCATTAAGCGCTTACAGGAAGATAATGGCTCATGGATCGAGGACCAGGAGGCAATTAGAACACATGCTGCAACATACTTCTCTAACTTATTCACAGGGGGTGTGCTTGCTCCAGACATGAATGTTGTTGAGAAGGTGAAGCCGAGAGTGACTAACGCAATGAATGACGAGCTGAATAAGCCCTATACAAGAGAGGAAGTTAAAAAAGCTTTATCTAATATCGGTGATTTAAAAGCTCCTGGTCCGGATGGGTTACATGTTGTGTTTTACAAATGATTTTGGCATATCATTGGTGAGGATTTGGTTGATGAAGTACTGATGGCTGTTAATTCTAGGAAGATTCCAGAAGGGTGGAATGATACCACTGTCATGCTCATACCAAAGGTTGATGATCCATCAGTCATAACTCAGTTTCGGCCAATCAGTTTATGCAATGTGGTGTATAAGGTGATCTCAAAATTACTAGCTAATCGTCTATAAACATATTTTGTACGAGATTATATCTCCCAATCAAAGTGCGTTCGTTTCGGGACGTCTTATCACGGACAATTTTTTGGTAGCTTTTGAGTCATATCATGCAATCAAAAAGAAGACTACGGGCAAATATGGGACATGTGCGGTTAAGCTTGACATGCACAAGGCATATGCCATGGTCGAGTGGACTTTTTTGGAAACCATACTGTTGCGTCTAGGGTTCACACCAAACTGGGTGGCAATAATCATGGAATGTGTACGTACAATGAAATATCAGGTACGAGTAAACAATGTGTTAACTGATTTTTGTGTCCCTTCTAAGGGACTCCGACAGGGAGACCCTTTATCATCATACTTGTTTTTGCTCTATGCTGAGGGCCTGACAAGCTTGATCACATATGAGGAGGAGGCTGGTAATATTAGGTAGTGAAGGTGTGTCGTGATGCTCCTTCGGTATCTCATCTTTTATTTGCGGATGACTCTCTTATCCTTATGCCAGCAGACGCCACTAATGCTATCAGCCTCCGGTGGGCACTTGATGATTATTGTGCAGCTTCTGGACAAATGGTGAGTGAGGCCAAGTCCAGTATTTTCTTTAGTCCTTGCACCCCTGTTGATACTAGAGTGGAGGTTTGCACTGCACTAAATACCATGGTGGAAGCCATCACGGATAAATATTTGGGATTGCCTCCAATTGTAGGTGTGGACAGAACAGATTGTTTTCAACACCTCATTGACGGAGTTTTGAGTAGAATAAGAGGTTGGAAGGAGAAATTTTTATCCTATGGAGGTAGGGAAGTGCTACTTAAGGCTGTCATACAAGCTATTCCTTCTTACGCTATGTTAGTTTTTAAACTACCCAAACAGGTTTGCAATAGTATCACCACAGCTATGTCTAAATATTGGTGGGGAGATGATGATCTGAAAAACACATGCACTGGTTTGCTTGGTGGAAAATGTGTGTCCCAAAGGAAAAGGGTGCAATGGGTTTTAGAGACTTGCATTGTTTTAATTTGGCTCTTCTCGCAAAGCAGTGTTGGAGGTTGTTATGTGAACCAAATTCTTTATGTGCTAGAGTTTTGAGAGCCAAATATTTTCCTGATGGAGACCTTCTTAACTGCGGCCTTAAGAAGGGTAGTTCTTATACATGGCAGAGTCTATGGAGTGGAATTCAGTCTTTTAAACGAGGGCATATTTGGAGAGTTGGAGATGGGTCACAAATTAACATCTGGGAAGACCCTTGGATACCAAGTAGTCCTACTCGAAAGGTAATGACGCCAAGAGGTAACATTGTGATCACAAAAGTTTATGAACTCATTGATACGGAAAATAGATGTGGGATGAACAGTTGATATCGGAGTTGTTTTGGCCTATTGATGTGCAACGCATGTTAAACATCCCACTGGCTTTGGGGATGATGGATGATTTTGTGTCATGGCACCATAATAGAAGTGGAATATTTTCGGTTAGATCGACATACCATGAAGAGTGGGAGCATCAACACGGACGAAAGTTGAGGATGACTAATTCTATACAAGCCTCAAGTACTAGTCCAGATTGGCGTACCATTTTGAAATTGCGTGTGCCGAAAAAAATCAAAATTCATGTATGGAAAACTTTGCTTGGCGCCATCCCTTGTAATGGAGTCCTTGCTAACAGGCATATGATCACAAGCTCTCAATGTCCTCTCTGCACTTCGGATTGTGAGAGTATTAGACATGTCATGTTCTTGTGCCCTAGAGTTCAAGAAATCTGGAGGATATTGGGACTGCAAGATGTGGTTCAGGAGGTGTGTGTGCGCTGGAGAGGGATGGCGGATCGGTGCTGGATGACCTTCTTCTATCAACGAACAATACCATGGCTCATATGACTGATGTTCAACGCAATGACCTTGTGGCCACTACAGTGTGGTACGTTTGGTGGGAAAGACGCTGCTACACTCATGGTGAATATGTGTATGAACCAAGCAGGTCAGCGCAAGCAATTTTAGCTCTTGCTAAGAATTTTCCAAGGCAAAGTCGAAGCAAGCAAAACTGAGAAGATATGGATGGAGTAAGCCACCAGAGGGAGTTCTCAAACTTAACGTCGATGCCACTTTCGATCCTGATAGGGGAACAGGGGGCACGGGTGCAATCTTACGAGACGAAGCTAGTTTCTTCATCACAGCTTCATGCAGTAATATCCCTTTTGTGGAAGACGCGGCGACGGCAGAAGCTAGAGGTATGCGAGATGGGCTCTTACTCGCAAATGAAGCTGTGTGCAATAAAATTTGCATCGAGTCCAATTGCATGGAGGTCGTCGAAGTCATGCAAGGGGGGTGGTAATTCGCTAGGCCCGGCAGCCGCAATTTATGAAGAATGTTCTTTTCTTGCTAGAAATTTTATTTCTATTATGTTTTCCCACTGCCCTAGGGAGGCCAATGCGGCGGCAGATTTATCGGCTACAAACTCGGAGTTCTCTCATACAATTGTTTGGAAATCGAAGCCTTCGGGGTTTCTAGTAGATGTATTAACAAATGATGTATCACTTTTTGCGCATGAAATATAAACCGTCATGACGGCTTTCCTTAAAAAAAGTCTATTTGCTGTTAAAAAAAGGTATAGCGACGGGCATGTGCTGTGGTGGACGGCGAGATGGCAGTAACCCAAGGTTCCCTTATATAAGATAAGATAAGATAATATACAAAAGGGAATCTTATCTTCAAATATGTGCTATTTTGTGGGTGCTCCTGGGCTAGTTTTTTTTTCTACGGGAGGACTAGTTTGTTTTTTATGGAGAGAAACGCTTAGTAATAATATTAGAAAAATGCAAGTACATACTTTTAGTTATATAAATAATTAGTTGCATTCTTTTGGAGTCTCCAGGTTGGTTAGATTTTTCATTGAGAGAAATCCAACATTCTTATTAACCATGGTAATTATAACGTTGTATATTAACAAAAAAACTTGTAAATGCTTTTACATATAAATCTCATGGTACATGGTCTTATTTCTTATACAAATCGTAAAAATGAGAAATAAATTGTTACATGTGGACAGGCCACAATTTTACTAGAAGAAAACATGGTAAAAAAGTATAGAGGAAATGCTAAAAAAAACTCCTATGGGAATGTATCTCGTAGCCCACCCTTGTAATACTACTGGTGCACCGGATGGCGTAGCAACTTTTAAAATGTTGGAAAAAATCTGAAAAAATATCTAAAATATTGACACAACATTAATGTATGTTGTCACAAAATTTCTTATCACAATTCCATCTACTCTTCTTATTTTTTTTTTATATTTGGTTAAACTTTATAAAGTTTGATTTAAAACAAAACGCTAATATGTCAAAAATAAAATGAAAGGGACATAATACACATAAAATGGAAGGGACATAAAATGAAAGGCACATAAAATAAAGGGTTGGAGCCGTCCATCATGCATGGGGGTGGGCGTGGGCGTGGACGTAGATAAACACGTCCAGGTCGAGGACGGCGTTCTTGCGTAGCTGCCAGCTCGCCGTCCTCCAGAGCACGTACCCCGTCGCCATCCTGAACCTCCCTGTGCCGCCCACCACCGACAGCTCCCGCAGTGGCTCGACGATGTTGTCGCGGCCGACGACGGCGAAGGTGCTCCCGGAGTAGGGCCCCGCCGTGAGCACCACATTCATGCAGAAGAGCAGCGCCGGGTCGTGCATGGACGCGAACACGTAGGTCACCTGCGCACGTCCCACGGGCCTCGACGCCGGGTCCGGCCCATCCGTGAGCGCGTCGTCGATCACCACCACCTGCCCGAACCGCAGCGGCGGGTCGCCCCCGAACAGCGATGGCCCCGTGCCGTTCACGACCTCGACCGCCGTGGCGCCCGGGCCGGTGAGCACGTCGTGCATGAACAGGCGCATGCGGGCGGGCCGGGCGGATGCCCCGGCAAGCCATTGCCAGGACGCGGAGAGCAGCACCGCGAGCGCTGCCGAAGAGGCGAAGTACAGGAAGACGAAGAGGGTGCTCCTCTGCTTCGACTTTGCAACAGGCATGATTGGGGATGAATTGTTGAGGTGTGCTACACGTTTGTTGACGTATAAATAGCACGCGCAGATGGTTGGTCAGACACTATGCTCTGTTCGGGTTGATCACAGACCTGCTCCGCCAGCTACACGCGCTGTACGGCTGTGTTTGATTTGACCATAAACCTGCTCCACCAGTAATTTGACGAATGTGCTTTTGCGCATCACATACATGTGTGATGCATGTGCCTCTTCAAAGCCTCTCTAACAGGAAATTTTGGCACTTCTGATCATTACTTTGCGCTAGCAACGCATCCATGCTCTCATACACGTCCGTGCCCACTCCCGTGTGCTTGCTACTACATATGCCGCGGGTTCCAGTTTGTGCCTCCAACTCGCTTCCGCCTAGGGATGTCAATTGATAGGGTATGGGCGTGAGTACAATCCTCTTCTACCCAAACTCATATTCATAAGAACTTTTTATGCACACGCACTTCAATATCCACCAGCAAACATGCCCGTGCGTTGTAACAGAAGAAAATAAATTACCCCTCAAACACACTGGACGGCATTAGCAAAAGTCTTTTTTTTTAAACGGAGGCAAAAGTTTTGCCTCATCCATTAAATAAGGGGGAATAGAGTTTGTTACAAGTCACCCAATTACACGACATGCGGACTACTCACACAAAATTAAAGCCCCTAGCTTTTTTGCACCGGTGACGATCCAAAGGTTGGCCTCTGTAGAGATGGAGGAGAGCAAGATTGTCGGTGAGACGCGCTTATGTTTAAAAACTCTTGCGTTACGCTCGTTCCATATTGTCCATGACATGAGCATGGTGAGGGATGCCTTGGCATGTCTGTTTGGCGTGCCGTCGGTGCAAGTACTCATCCACCAATCTTTAACCGAACTAAAGGAGGGCCAAGCGGAAGTGTCTAGCCCGAGTATGTAGTATTTCTCAATGACCAATGACCAAACCCTTGAGAGTAGCCCGAGTATGTAGTATTTCTCTTGGAATTTTTCATGATGCTATGCCAAGCAACATGATAAGTGGTGTTGTACAAATATTTTTACATGATGCTACCTAGTTGCTGATATATGTTTACGCCTTTGTTGTCGTTTCTCCTTAGTGATGCCAACAAATATTTTGTTATAATGAAAATAGCAACTATATTTTAGTATTCAATGATAACATGTGCATAAGAGCATTATTTTTGTCTCATTGATTTATGTGTTTGCAACTGTAATCCAAATCAAGACTTAATTTAGTTGCAAACATATTAGACAGCTCCACTGAAAACAATTAATCTGTAAGGACATGCACGCCAAATATTCAAGGTTGCATATCAACATCGATATTCTTAAGAAATAAACTATGGGCACAATTTCAAACAATATGGAAATGAACGTTAAACCCTTAGTTTACATAAAGCTTGTATCAGCAGTTTCGTGTACATCACTGTATATAGGATGATTATTGTGCACTGTGCGAAATAGAGATGATGATTATGTACGTGTTGTAATCTTTAACATATAGTATTTGATAGAAATCAACATCTCATATATAATAGTTTTTTGTGAGAACGTCAAATAATCTTATTTACTCCATTCAAATGAGTTGGAAACGTATATAATAGACATTTTCAAAATACCCCACATAAAGAAGGTATTAAACTATTAATGAAGGTTGCATCCAAAGCGTAATTTTAAAATGATTAACATGCAAGATAATGGCATATTTGGAATCTACATATTTTCTGAGGCATTTCCATATATAATATGTTAAATTTGAAGTTAGGGTTTAAAAGATATGAATATTTACAAACGCATTTTGAATCTGCCAAAAAAAGAAAATAAAAAGTAAAACAGAGTAGCTAGGCCAAAAAGTGTAGCCCATAAGGTACCCTACATAAAAAATTCAGAGAGAAAAACAAAGGGGAGTGGGACTCAAACCCAGGTCACAAGAGTGACATTCCAACCAGTAGGATGCTCATGCAGTTTTGTAATATTGGAGGACCACTTCATCTTAACCAATGACAACAACCGATGTGAAAAACAAATCGTGTTCTGTTACTTCTTGGGCTTGCATTGGTTTTTCCCTTGAAGAAGAAATGGTGATGCAGCAAAATAGAGATAAGTATTTCCCTCAGTTTGAGAACCAAGGTATCAATCCAGTAGGAGACAACACACAAATCACCGAATACCTGCACAAACAAGCAAACAACTTGCACCCAACGCGATAAAGGGGTTGTCAATCCCTTCACGGTTACTTGCAAAACTGAGATCTGATGGAGATAGATAAAGGATAAAGTAAATATTTTTGGTATTTTTGGTTTATAGATCGGAAAGTAAAAGCTTGTAAAATAGTAGATCGGAAACTTATATGATGGAAAATAGACCCGGGGGACATAGGTTTCACTAGAGGCTTCTCTCAAGATAGCAAATAATACGATGGGTGAACAAATTATTGTCGAGCAATTCATAGAAAAGTGCAAAGTTATGACGATATATAAGGCAATGATCGTGAATATAGACATCACGTCTGTGTCAAGTAAACCGAAATGATTCTGCATCTACTACTATTATTCCACACATCGACCGCTATCCAGCATGCATCTAGAGTATTAAGTCCATAAAGAACAGAGTAACGTATTAAGTAAGATGACATGATGTAGAGGAATTAACTCAAGCAATATGATGAAAACCACATATTCTTATCCTCGATGGCAAAAATACAATACGTGTCTTGCTGCCCCTACTGTCACTGGAAAAGGACACCACAAGATTGAACCCAAAGCTAAGCACTTGTCCCATTGCAAGAAAACCCAATCTAGTTGGCCAAACCAAACCGATTTCGAAGAGAATTACAAAGATATCAAATCATGCATAAAAGAATTCATAGAAGACTCAAATAAAATTCTTAGATAAGCTGATCATAAATCCACAATTCATCGGATCTCGGCAAATACACTGCAAAAAAGTATTACATTGAATAGATCTCCAAGAACATCGAGGAAAACATGGTACTGAGAATCAAAGATAGAGAAGAAGCCATGTAGCTAATAGTTATGGACACATAGGTCTGTGGTAAACTACTCACGCTTCATCGGAAGGGCGATAGAGTTGATGTAGAAGCCCTCCGTGATCAAATCCCTCTCCGGCAGGGTGCCGGAAAAGGTCCCTAGATGGGATCTCATGGGTACAAAAGGTTGCGGCGGTGAAATAGTGTTTTCGTGGATGCCTTTGGTGGTTTGAGAATATTTGGGAATATATGGGCGAAAGAATTAGGTCAGGAGGTGCACGAGGGGCCCACAAGGGTGGGTGCCGCGCCCTACCCCCTGGGCATGCCCTGCGTCCTTGTGGCCGCCTCGTGACTCCTCCGACTTCATCTCCAAGTCTCATGGTTTTCTATTGGTCTAAGAAAAATCATCGCGAAGGTTTCATTCCGTTTGGTATTCCTTTTCTGCGAAACTCAAAAACAGGGGAAAAACAGGAACTGGCACTGGGCTTTAGGTTAATAGGTTCGTCCCAAAAATAATATAAAATAGCATATTAATGCATATAAAATATTCAAAACAGATAATATAATAGCATGGAACAATCAAAAATTATAGATACGTTGGAGACGTATCATGTTCCCACTTACCGGTGGCATGGTAAGCTGGTGGCTCTGGGCCTATGAGCTATGGCCAATTTAGGGAATAGGTGATTTAGGGTTGGATCATAAGAGCTTGATGTTGACCCCACATGTCATCGGAGTTATTTTCATTTATTAACTTTTGGTGGGTATCTATGGGGTTGTTCATGGGCACAATTTCATACCTATGCCTACCCATATATTGTGTGGGTATGGATACCCATTATCCGTCGGTATAAAATCTCACCAAAGCTTGTCCATGTGCGCTGTTTTCGGATAGAGTCCCACAGGCACCCATAACCATGGGAAAAACTGATATCCCTACTTTCACACTTCCTCATTTCCTTTTTTTCTTTAATGTAATGGTTTGGTTATTTTCTTTCAGAGTTTTGCTTCGGTACATCCTTTGAAAAGTTAACATGAATCTTAAAGTAACTTAAAAGAGTATTCTCGTACATTCATGATCAATTATTTCTAATCTATTCTTCCATTGATCAAATAAGGGTCCACCTTTGCATCAAAATCTTTAAACTTTTCTGGGGGAACCGAAGCAAAACTCCTTCCATTATAGAAGTGATGGAAATACGCCTAGCCTGGTTCTAAAAAGTGTCGTTGTCCCATGGCCGGTCTTGCTTCACCTCACTTTGTCAATCTATTTTGTACCTGATCTTTTCTCCATGTTGGCTGATGACGTAAATGTTGGTCGTCCCTGAAAACATTTGATGTTGTGTCTCAACTTCGACCGATGAAGCTGAAAGATACTCTTTTTCTCTAGTTGTGTAGGGCATGTGTTCCCCGAAAAATGCCAACGGTGTCCGAGCTCCTTGGTGCCCGTGTTTAAAACACCATTTTCTACAACGCATAAAGTTTCAAATATTTTTTAAACATGCATACACGTGTAAACTATGCATGTGTGAAATTTCATAACATTTTACTTACACATGTGATCTACCAAAAAAGACAAATATGTATTTTCAAATTGACCGTTCTTTTGTTGGGCCGGAATTTGTTTTTTTTGTACATCTTACAAATTGTTATTTTTTTCTAACGGAATTTGATGGATCTGTAATGAACACATACAAGTTTTCATGGATTTTTTTTAATTTTCTAAATATGGTTTTTGATTATTATTATTTTTAATGCGGGCCTCCATGGTGCCCGAGCACCATAAGTCCACACTCATGTGTTTCCTTCCTCTACATGTGCTTTGAAGGTGTTAGACTGTATTTATACATGGCTTCTGTATATTGTATTGTACATTTCATGTACCCTTATATATAGGTAAAACTGTGTTTACCATAGCTTACCACGGAACTAGTTAAGGGTCGCTAAACTTTTAACGGTTTAAAAATTATCTAAAAATATGAAATAAATATGAGAGCATCTCTCTAATGT